TCCCTCAAATACCTACTGCTTGAGATTCAACCTGGCTTTGCAGCACCATGCTGCCATGAACACGGTGCATAAAGTTTTGCCAAGAAGGGTCCATCATTAGAGGAGCAGGCGTTGTTCACGTTCAAGACACAAAATACTTTCAATGTTACAAAGGTGAATGTCCACATCAACTGATCTGTCACCTGCATACTGCGCTAACTTCGAAGAAACTGCCAAGACATGGAGGGCCTGGCTGCTTGGCTGCTGTGCACAATAAATGGTGAGACACGAAAAAAACCTCTTCTGCTCGCTGACGACATGTTGCAAAGGTTTATTGAAGACATTGGATGAAACTAGATTCATGTCTGGCGACCGTTTTGAGCTGCAAAAGTGCGGGTTTACACACGACCATCTGGCCATCTGGCCTGGCCATCTAGCGGGATTGAACCCGAGCTGTCGAGATGTGCTCTGCAGAGCTGCGGAGCTGTCGACTTGCAATCAGTGAAAGCAACAGCCTGTGATTTGCAATATACGGGGACTTGACTGAGGGCCAGACCCCTTGGTGGTCTCTGAGACATGAAACAAAAACCAGCAAGCAGTGCCAAGGCGACATGTCAAAATTAATCATGTGCGATTGATGAAATGGGAGCGTTCGTCGATCAACAATGCCCTTCGTCCGAACTTGTGGCGCCTTTATGAGGCCATGTCTGAGAGCATCTGGCGCTGGGTCACAAAGAGGAGGTGATTCAACCAGGTTTCGGCTTTTGAGGGGTGCCGATCGCATTTGTGCAGCCTTGGCCGCTTGAAAAACGCAGCCGGTCATGAACAGCATTGACATGGTTCTTGCATATTTTTGCTAAATTGGTCATTGGGCGGTTGCAAGTCCGTCTCCTGCCTGTCTCTGACAGCTCTTTCCAACAGTCCGATTCCAGTGCAGTCGTTGCCCACATCTTCTTTTGAGTCCTTTGGAGACGCACTGAGTCACATTGTCAGCTCCGCTGGTCTATGTCCATCACTGAACAAACGCAAAACACTCGGTCCCTTTCCCATGGTTCTTGGGCGATGGTCACCTTCGAAAGGCTCAGATCAAAGGGGCAAAGGAGCTCTCGCAGCGTGGAAGGAACCCAAGCCACTGCACGCTTAGCCTCTTCCAATGGTCCCGTCATGTGGTCTCTGTGATGTGTGTAGGGGACCCAACGCCAAGCTGCAGTTGCCTTCGAAGAATAAGAGGCACCAGGGAGGAGAAGTGACCTCATGCTGCAAAGGTGTTCATTCAAAATTTGGAACATATGGAAGCCATTGCTAGTAGGTTGGAGGCCATCGCTAGTAGGTTGGAGGCCATTGCTAGTAGGTGTATTTTCAATCTCAGCCAAGAAAACTTGGTCAAATCCGTTAAGCTAGCAGCAAAAGGTACGCACCTTTTTACCTTGATGCTGCAAAGCTGCGGTAAAGCGACCCACGCATAGAAACATTAGGTGATGTATTTCAACACCCCCCTCTGCATTCACATGTGCGTGAATTTGCAGTCGATTCGGGAAGCTGGGCGTAGGTAGGTAGCATCGCTGCTAGCAACTCACATCCCACTCCTTCGGGAGAGATGGAGTCAAACACAACGAAAACGCCACGCAGCCATCCCGCACTGCGGTATGAGTTTAGCCACGATAGCTCCACCAGCAGCCGTCGTTGCCGCATTCCCACCATTCACCATTGTAGTAGGTGTAGCGTCCCCACCGATCTCAGTTCCGGGGTCCATGGGCAGCCGCATGAGCGGTGGCGCCCTTCATGGGCCTCACGCACACCTTGGCTTTCAGCGGTGCCTTTGCTGTTGCTGCTGCTGAAGTCGATGGAGTAACAGGAGGCAGCTTTGCTGTTTGCATCTGGCGCACATCAATCGTAATGAGGACATTGATATTCTCACCACCAGGCGATCCCTCCTCTTCTGGCACAAGGGATGGGGCAGCCTGTGTTGCAGGCGCGGCCTTCAGTGGAGTCTTTGGCACTGGCACAGTCCGGCTCTTCTTGCTCTTGCCTCGGCCCTTTGCTGCATTGCGCTCAGCTGCTTTCAAGAATTGGCCATAGCTTCTTCCAGCTCCCTCTTCGGCTCAATGACTCCGTAGAATGTGAGGAGTTTGGTGCTCCAGCATTCGGGAAAACGATCTCCCAGGGCTTTTCCTGTGAGGATAGCAATGTCGGCATCCACGTACATCAATTTCGCAAACTCCAAGCCGTTTGCCAGCTTGATGCCGATTCTGAAGTTGACCTGGGTTCTCGTTCTCGGTGGGGTCGGCAAATGTCCATGAGCCGCTGTGTCTCGCATTTGGATGTCTGACCAGGTTTATTAATGTGTTGCTGAAGTCATCCGTTCGATGGATTCTTCATAGCGATTCGGCAAGCGAGGTGTATCCAAGTCCAGTTGCCCGCTTCAATTGACGATGCGGTACCTCGATGAAGTCACCTTCAGGGCTCCTCTGTCCTGGGGCAGATTCCTCGCGGAACTGCGCGCTCTGGCCTCCAAGCCTCTTGATGACGTTCGCATTGGGATGCTCGTAACCGAGCTTTTTGAGCAAGTCCCGCATCTTTGAGAGCAGAGAGCAGTCTCTTTCATCCCGATGTCACCTGTAATGTTTGTACTGCAGGCCGGACAGACAACGGTACCTGAGACCAGGTTTGCACCACATCCAGGACACATGACTTTGGTAGTGGGGGCGTCGTCTCACTGATGGTCGCGCAGCGCCGTCGCTGGAATCTCGACTTCATCTTCTGCGTCGGGTTCACGTTCACGCTTGGTGTTGGCAGCGGTCATCTCAACATCGGCGCTAGTGTCAGCGCTCCCGGCAGTGGTTGCTGCGGGCGTACCCTCACGGGTAGCATCAGGAGCGGCAGGCATGGCCCTTGTCGCGCTTGACCTTGACCTTAAATGATGACATCCTTCTCAGTATCGTGGATATGGACAATGTGTGCACTCGAGATGTTGTAGGGGCTCA